ATTGGGAGGGGGTTTCCAGGCACATATTTCAACTCTACATATCAAAATCTAGTAACTGCATTATTGTCAATTGTTTTGAAATAGCTGTATTTAAAAATGATACTGACTTCAGATCATAGAATAATTTTTGTTCATTTCCTTGATGAAGGTATTTATTTTTTTCTCACTTTATCGCTCACACTGAACACAGGGACATGTGCAACCAGTTTCGTTACCYATCATGAACATCTGATGTTTGTGTCTGAAGGAATGACAAACAAATATCCTTGAATCCTTAATTCACTGGACTGAGGAGTTAGTAGACAAGCTCGACAAACGTGCAATTTCACTAGGTGTTTGCTAATTGTTGCTGCTACTTGTGTGGGGGGAGATGCTATGTGTGGTGAGTAGTGTTTGGCTGTGAACTGAGCTCCAGGGAGGAGCTTTGGGTAAATAGGTGGCACTTTGTACAAGCGACATGGCTACAGAAGATCCAATGAGTTCTCAAAAATGCATGAATGAGTCAAAGCAACATGATATAAAGCTAAAAATAACATTTTGCATAATACCCACCCACCCACACACACACACACACACACACACACACATTTTTATATTTGATCTTTAAACACTGTGTTACAAGCAGCATAATACAAAGACACAATTTGTTTCCCTTTTTATAAAAAACAACAACAAAAAAGAAGTTTTCAGAATCAACACAGTGATTCCCAAACTGGTATAAATTTAAAACTTGACACACAGCAGATCAAACATTTTAGCTTTCCGTACATAAGCATTGCAGAAACCTGTGACCCCTGTTATTACGCAAAATTTGATAAAAATTCTGTTAAACATGGGCATAATAACAACATGTGACCCATCACATCGAAACAATGATTAAGTCCAAAAAATGGAATGTAGGGAAATAAGCAGATAGAGGGTTTTGATTTAAACGTGTGCAAAAATTGTATTTTGTCAAAATATAATGAATTCATGCCTCATCAATGAACTATCTGAAATATAATCCTAAAAATATTTTGAAGAATTTTTTGACCAGTAAAAACCAAAAAACCYTATTTTGAGGAAAAACATCTTAAAATTTTGAATTATTCCCTGTGAGCTAGAAATGTTTTTGTTTCTTTCCAGCTGTGAAATCTTAACATACAAATAATATTTGAGGTTTCCTCTTTATATTGACATCAAAAATGACTCAATAGATTTACCTAAAATTAGGATTCAGACCAAACAGTAATGTATTATCGTAACCAACAAGACAAATTAAGTCATATCTCTGGATAAGCTTATGATATCAGAATGATCCAGGGGTCAAAATGTAGCTTTTAAAGCAGAAATCTGAAAATGTAATTAGGTCATTTCGACCAAATTTGACTTAATCCTCATATGATGGGTCACATATAAACAAAACTAATAACTATGATATTAATATTTTTTACAATAATTATGGTGAAAATATACTATTAGCYATTTATTTCCATTTAAATTAATGTTTTGAAATCACCTGCGGACCCTTACTTGATGTTTCGTGACCCACAGTGGGGTCCCAATCCCAACTTTGTGAACCAATAGATAATTAGCTGAAGGATGATGCATCCCTCAGTTCTTGTGTCAACATTTTTTTCTTTTTTTTTACCTAATTTAAAAAACATGATTTGTAGATACTATAAATTTATTGTTCTTTTTTTCTTTTAAACTTAATACCTCCTTTTCCCCCTCATATTTAAGCAACACAATATGGTGTCAGTGGCAAGACTGGATGAGTGAATACACTCTATTATGATCTATAAATATACATTTAATCAATTTTCCAACAAACATGCTCATWTCGCTTGGTTCTTTCAGTAAGAAAGATGTATAAGTGGAGGACTTGTAGGCAAACAGTAGTTTCCCTGGTGGAGGTCAGTGGGTTCATGTTTTCCTGTATAACATTGTTCTTTGACTTCCACTCATCTAGAAAAAAAAAGTTCCTCAAACTGTTTCATTCACAAAATAAATCTCTTGCAAGCCATTACGGTCCCATTCCACAGCACTAGTATCACTTTCTCAGGACAGCTGCTGATCCTTAAGAACCGACATCAAAAAACTTTTTGTCTCGCACAAAACAACTTCCAAGTCGGCAAAGAAACTCTGTCAAAGTCTACACAGAGCGTACAGACGAGCTTGTTGTAAAGAACCCCTGTCCTTTGGATGGGAAATAACAAGTCTTGTCTCCTTCAGCTTTGCACCCTTTAATTTGCATTGTTATGGAAAACCGCTGGATTTGGATAGAGCACAGARTCATTGAGGTCACCATAATAGAGTGTGACAGCTCGCCTTTTCAAATCTATTTGGAAGTGAAATCAAAATTCCTGGGAAAGTAAATCCAGAGAGCACAGACATATTTGACACTAGCATTGGGAAAAAGATGTCATAAAATGTGGTGCAAATAAATTGCACCTGGATAATTGGTAAGGCTAAATATGAAAGTTACAAACACATGGACCTTTTGATTTTCATTTTGGCGGAAACTTGTAAAGATATCGAATTAGTATTATATATAATAGCAGTACATTAAAAGAGAGAAATTTGTTGAATTAATGTTTTGGGGTTTAGTTTTCCACATTTGTTTCTCCTGGAAAAACCTTAGTATTAAAAGTTTCTTCAATTAAAATCTGATGGCTGATCCTCTTCATGGCCCTGCCTTTCAGATATTAACCTTGCGGTGCTACAAAATAGCCTCTTCCTCACTGCAGGACCCCATAATGAGCCAGTACAATGAGGCTTCAGTTCAAGTTCACTGCTCACCTCTCTTTGGAGTCTTTTGGGGTCTTTGTGGACATTTGTCAGCCCCAGAGGAATTTGGGGGGTTTGATTTCTGCTATAGTCTAACAGTAGATTCAGACAGCAACTCTGACTCCCAGACTTTCAGCACAAAAGAGGGGAAAAAAGTTTGTCCAGTGATGAACTTTAACTTTGCATGGAAAGGAGAGGAAAGAAAGGAGTGAGTTGAATAAAAATCAGGGGACATTTCAAATTTCAGCCAARACTCAAAGATTTGGAAAGGGCAAGAATTCTGCAGATACGCCATTTTGAACTTGGGTTGAATCCCAAGGAAGCAAAGAATAAATAAAATAAAGAATAATAAAGTTTGAGGAGATTCATGTGGGAGCATATGTCTATAAAAAGCTTAATAAAGTAGACTTGTGTTTTATGATTCCAACATGTTGCAAATGTCAGTGTTAAAGGTTTGCAATACGCATGCTTAATGAGCCAGTTAATATTTTATTGTGTTTAAATGAATATTTCAGTTTGTTACAATCTGTCYTAGAACAATTTCTGTTTTGTCTGTTGATCCCATTGGTACAGATCCCCAAGGTTAGTCCAGCATCAGCCATCTGGAGTCTAGCCATGTTTTAAACTTCCCTTTGAAATAAACTAAAGAGAAAACCTTGGTGGGTGATCTGCAGTTCAGTTTGTCTTAAGTTGTCACTTCAGTTTTGTTTGTCTCTCTTGATGTTCCCTTTCACTTTGCGTCTCATTTTTAGTAGGAACACTTTTGCTTAGGGTGTTTTTGTGAGTCCAACAGCCAAGAGAAAGAAAGAGCAAAACAGTAAGAGAAACTTAACAAGCTGAGAAATATTTTTGTTTCCTTTAAGAGCATCGTTCCTGCTTGTGCTTGTGTTTCCAGATTRGCTGCCTTCTTGCCGACCGTCTTCAAAAAACACAGCAGCCTCAGGTGAGCTTGGACAGAAAGCTGATCACTGATGGGCTTTGAGCCTGGACCTGCCTCYTTACCTGGTCCTGCAGAAGATCTGATCAGCGATGAGACAGAGTAACAACTGGCCATGCACAGCTTCTAATCCAGTGAGGCATATTTGATCTTGTGATGTAAAAAGAGACATTTTTTGTTTTTCTGCTGATGTAAGTTTGATAGATGTCACCAGGGGAACAATGACCACCCATAAATAAACTGGTGAAACCTCATTGAGTCCGCAGACAGTTTTATCCCAAGCTTTTAATTGATGTGCATTTTTAATTTCTAACTATTTAGGATTAGTAGAAACTCAACATAATATTGCTATTAAGCAATTAGGAGTAAAGTTATATAGTTTATTTTAATTAAAAATAAAACTCAAAATTAGYACCCCAGAATAAGGACAAGCAGACTAAAACCAATGTCCTTAACATTAGGATACAAGGTCTTGTGATGTTGTATTCACATTTTTTTAAATAGCTATATAAATACAAATTTAGGAGAGTATGAGCTTCAGTAATAGGCAGTGCCTTCCTTCTCAGTAATAAGTAATATCTACTGTAAATAAATGACAAACTTGTGATTCTCTAATTAATTGTCAAATCTGAAATTCTTTCTTCTTTTTTTGGGTTGGTTTTGTTTTGCTACTTTGCGTGTGTGTGTGTGTGTGTGTGTGTGTGTGTGTGTGTG